GGTCGGCCTGTCCCGTATCGAGCATACTTGGGATGAAATGGAGATACGTTTACGTCAAGCCAAGAATTAGCCACTCATATCAGCTGAATTGGGACAAACGTTGGTTCAGACTTGGAACAGCATTCCCCAAGCTTTCTTCAATCGCTTAGTGTCGTCTATGCGTCATGGCAAGCCTGCATCAACGCCAATGGAGGACACGCGCGATACTGAATTTGTGGACGTTTACGTTTTATACATCCGTTTTAGGGTAAAGTATTTAGGTAAGAAGCTGGCATCCCATTGGACACCCAGTGTTCTCCTTTCTTGGAGGATTTGTATACATATGAATTAGAATTCCTGGATTGGCAAAGAGTAATTTGGAATATGGATGATCTAATATCTTTCAATAACCACCAAAGAGCAGTTCCCTGCCATTGATGTACCAACCTAAACTGCATTTTAACGAGTTGGACAGCAGTATCTTGATCAGAACAATGTTAATATCTTACTCAGGCCAGCATGATCCCTAGATTTGTCACCCATCATTTCAATCATATGTGGTTCTCCGAAATGTGGTGTGACTGTGGTTTCCCCTCTTGTGTTGTGGCTCATTTTCATATGCCAGGTGCACTGTTTTATTGACTGTTAATCGTTACCTTACCTTGAAACAAGTGTCTTTCCATGTAATTTAATAACATTTCAAAAGTGGCTGTAAAAGCTTACCATTGATTCTTATTGCTCTTTGTGTGTTACATAAATCAAATTATATTTTAAAAACAAGTAGGGTTGCTACCTGAGCGGCTAAACAGTTCATCTTTTGGACACAGCATCTTGGTTATGAAGAAATGAAGATCTCCAATAGAAGCAAGTCTCTAATAGACAAAGGTGTGGTCATCGCGATGATGTTGAAATCAGCTTCACACCACAAATCACCCACGTCCTTCTGACTAAATGTCATATTTTAGTCAGGTGCCTTCAACGTTGCCTTTTCAAAGGCTCTTCCTTTCTGTCTACGTAACAATATAAAGTGTAAAACTATGCTTCACATAATTTAATTCGGGTATTTATTTATTTCTGGTATAACATGTGATCTTTTCTCATGTCAGCCACATGTGTAACCCTTGAAGGGTAAAGTGATGGAATTGCGAAATGTTGCATTGAATATGCGTAGGGTAGATCGTGAAAACTTACCCCTGTCATCCGCTCAGTGTGGGAGAGAGCCAGATTACCAGATGGGATTATTAAGTGTATTTACCTCAGAAACAATATCGTTCAAAGGACGCAGTACGAGTCATGTTTCGCAAGGTAGATTCTTATTGCGAAATGTGCACTGAATTGCGATGAATGTGAAATTTAATGCCGTGGAGAACAGATATGGTGAATTTGGTCCGTTTGCTCGAACCAATGATGTCATGTGTTTTAAATGAGGAACATATGTGAGCTGCACTATTGCATAAACATGTATCTAAATATTATCATGCGTTCCAGTATTTCAAATATATTGCACTTTCAACACAGTTCTGTGACCTAAGGTGACACTGAAACGCTATCTATCAACATTGATTGAAAAGAACGTTGTTCCTGATTTAATCAGTTAAGGATGTATACAGTCGCAGAAACGTATTCAGTGCCTATAAAACTGGCCGCCAGTTGATCACCACCATTCCATCCAACGTCTGACGTTTAACATGCTGCTGCTTCTGGTCAGTCTGTCCTGCCTGGCGGCCGTCAAGGTTCAAGATACACCTTGCTGATTGGCAGACGATTGGTCAGTCACAGTGTTTGGCAATAGTAGTAGTATTGGTAGACATAATAATAGACGTAGAGTAGTAGACGTAGTAGACGTAGACGTAGTAGTAGTAGTAATGAATGGTATTTTCTATAAAAGAACATTTAAAAGCAGTTGTAAGTTGGCCAAGGTATATCGATGATCTGATATCGTTAATAAACACCAAATAGCAAACAGCACTTCCTTGGGTCACAGAACTTTTGGAAAGTGAAGCATATTTAAATTTATAGATCTGTGCATAAAGATTCAGAGTGACAAATCATCATATGAGAGAAATATTCTCAAGCACGACGTTAAACCCAATTTCAGCTCACCTCAGAGTGACAAAACACACACCACAAGGCTGTATGACAAAGGGATGATTCCAGTAGTTAACTTCCCTTTCATGTCGAGCAATGTTCGAACAGTTGTGTTGTCGAGCATGTTCTTTTACCAAGATTTCATATAGCGTCATGCGAATCTTGCTCAGAAGTTGTTCGATCAAGGTTATTACATTCAAGGCCTCAGTAAGGGCTTCAAAACATTGTATAGTGGACATGAAGATGTATTTTGAAAAGATTGTACAATCAACAAAGATATTTCTTACGAAAGTGGAAAGGGTTTTGTAGTTTCTATCTATTGAAATTCGAGCCAGTTTAATATTCGATTTTGATTCTTACATGAGTGAGTGAGTGAGTTAGTTAAAATTGATCTTCATCGACAATATTTCAGCCATATCGTGACGACAAAATACAGCAATAAAAATGTATGAAATATATTTCAACGTAATAAAATCCTGTCGTCTAAGGACAGTACAACAACTAGTTGGTTCGTACAGGCATCGCCGAAGTCCAGGGGGAATGTTTCCGATCATATCGGATGAAACCCACAGATGATGATGATGCATGTATGTATTCCCTGCCTTTCAGGAGGTATAAAACAGGGGATATACAAACTCTGTTGTTAGTATAGAGCAAGGACACCTGTAGATTTAATAGTACTCAATATATTTGAATTTAAGTTAAATAACGCTGTTGTGTATACTCTTTACTGAAATAAATACTATCCACTGGTGGCGGACGTCAAATCATAAGGTTGGAACCTTGTTGGTTAACAGGATCTAAAATCTGATTAAACAATCACAATCAAATATCTTCAAAATCTCCATAAGATGTAGAATACGGTTGTTTTGTTTTAAATCTTGTGAGATTTTCCTCGGACCGGCCGTCTACGTGTGACGTCACGTCAGAAAGACAACCACATTCGGTTGACCCGCTTCTGGCTTACGTAAGTGGCGGCATGGTTATAGTATGAAGAGACATCCCTTCTCATGGTCATGGTCGGATACAACTTATCATTGCCAATGGCAATCTGACTAGTCTGCGATAGAGGGATGAGATCATTGGGCCTCATGTGCAACCGTTCATTCAAGCACAGCGACGTAGCCTCACGCTTCAGAAAGGTAATGCCCGTCGACATGAGACAGCAGATTATTCCGGTACTCCCCTGGTCGGCCTGTCCCGTATCGAGCATACTTGGGATGAAATGGAGATACGTTTACGTCAAGCCAAGAATTAGCCACTCATATCAGCTGAATTGGGACAAACGTTGGTTCAGACTTGGAACAGCATTCCCCAAGCTTTCTTCAATCGCTTAGTGTCGTCTATGCGTCATGGCAAGCCTGCATCAACGCCAATGGAGGACACGCGCGATACTGAATTTGTGGACGTTTACGTTTTATACATCCGTTTTAGGGTAAAGTATTTAGGTAAGAAGCTGGCATCGCATTGGACACCCAGTGTTCTCCTTTCTTGAAGGATTTGTATACATATGAATTAGAATTCCTGGATTGGCAAAGAGTAATTTGGAATATGGATGATCTAATATCTTTCAATAACCACCAAAGAGCAGTTCCCTGCCATTGATGTACCAACCTAAACTGCATTTTAACGAGTTGGACAGCAGTATCTTGATCAGAACAATGTTAATATCTTACTCAGGCCAGCATGATCCTAGATTTGTCACCCATCATTTCAATCATATGTGGTTCTCCGAAATGTGGTGTGACTGTGGTTTCCCTCTTGTGTTGTGGCTCATTTTCATATGCCAGGTGCACTGTTTTTATTGACTGTTAATCGTTACCTTACCTTGAAACAAGTGTCTTTCCATGTAATTTAATAACATTTCAAAAGTGGCTGTAAAAGCTTACCATTGATTCTTATTGCTCTTTGTGTGTTTACATAAATCAAATTATATTTTAAAAACAAGTTGGGTTGCTACCTGAGCGGCTAAACAGTTCATCTTTTGGACACAGCATCTTGGTTATGAAGAAATGAAGATCTCCAATAGAAGCAAGTCTCTAATAGACAAAGGTGTGGTCATCGCGATGATGTTGAAATCAGCTTCACACCACAAATCACCTCACGTCCTTCTGACTAAATGTCATATTTTAGTCAGGTGCCTTCAACGTTGCCTTTTCAAAGGCTCTTCCTTTCTGTCTACGTAACAATATAAAGTGTAAAACTATGCTTCACATAATTTAATTCGGGTATTTATTTATTTCTGGTATAACATGTGATCTTTTCTCATGTCAGCCACATGTGTAACCCTTGAAGGGTAAAGTGATGGAATTGCGAAATGTTGCATTGAATATGCGTAGGGTAGATCGTGAAAACTTACCCCTGTCATCCGCTCAGTGTGGGAGAGAGCCAGATTACCAGATGGGATTATTAAGTGTATTTACCTCAGAAACAATATCGTTCAAAGGACGCAGTACGAGTCATGTTTCGCAAGGTAGATTCTTATTGCGAAATGTGCACTGAATTGCGATGAATGTGAAATTTAATGCCGTGGAGAACAGATATGGTGAATTTGGTCCGTTTGCTCGAACCAATGATGTCATGTGTTTTAAATGAGGAACATATGTTAGCTGCACTATTGCATAAACATGTATCTAAATATTATCATGCGTTCCAGTATTTCAAATATATTGCACTTTCAACACAGTTCTGTGACCTAACGTGACACTGAAACGCTATCTATCAACATTGATTGAAAAGAACGTTGTTCCTGATTTGATCAGTTAAGGATGTATACAGTCGCAGAAACGTATTCAGTGCCTATAAAACTGGAGGCCAGTTGATCACCACCACTCCATCCAACGTCTGACGTCCAACATGCTGCTTCTTCTGGTGTCTCTGTCCTGCCTGGCGGCCGTCAAGGCTCAAGCTACACCTTGCTGCATTGGAGACAAGTTGTCTGCCAAAGTGTTTGATGTTCGCGCGCCCTCCCTAGGAAATAACGTAAGTACAAAATGATCACATTTATCATAGCGACTTGTTTGTGACAATATAGTTTATTTTGTGTGGGCATAAGAGAAACGTAAAAATATAGTTTACTTGGGAATCTAGGTAATCCAGGTATATGGCGGAGGTCAGTCAGTAATCTGGACTGGACAATCATGTGATCAACGCCATAAGCACCAATCTGCTCAGTTGGGATACGATGACATGTTTCAACCAAGTCAGCGAGTCTGACCACCCCATCCAGTTGGTCGCCTCTTACAACAAGCATGAATTACTGAAGACCATTTATAGCCCAGATCTTCAAGGGTAGGATTAGTAGTAGCAGTAATGGTGGCATTTTCTATAAAAAAAAACATTTTCAAGCATTATCTCATAATTACATATCCAAATTAGTTGTATTCATTTTCCTTTACAGTATTCTCAGATCAAGAACAAAATGACAGTAATTACATCTGGAATGTATCTCCTAAAAATGTTCACAATGAAAACAGGGATTTACCTTGAGGACTGTATTTGAGGGTCCCTGGGAGTCATGCTTTTAATTTTTAGGGGTCCTGGACAACAAAATACATACATACATACATACATACATACATACATACATACATACATACATACATACATGACACTAGCAGCTGACTGATATAAACAAGTAATATCATCTATGCACTTTAAAATAGTATCTTTGAAGCATGTAAAAAATCACAAGATTGAAGAAATAGTTCTTGAAACTTAGTCAAAAATACTGTTGCAAGGTCATTGTTCAAACTGTAACATTTGTAAGTCATGAGGAGGATATTGAGTTCCACACGTGAAGCAACTGGTAGCCAATTATTATAGGATATTTATACATATAGCGCACATATCCAGGCAACTAGTGCATGCTCAAGGCGCTGGTATTTTCCCCTCAATCATTGGATGTCAATCTCAACGGCACATCTTATTATCAATCTCAACTCCCTGGGGAGTATACAACTCTTGCAGCCACTAGGCACACCGAGTTAGTGTGGCTTTCCGATCCTTACGAGGAATGGGGGTCCCATACACTAAAATATGATTATTAATACTGTTATTGTATTGTGTATCGTGATTATCACATTGTTACAGTAATTAAATTGCAAATAATACCATAACCCAGCTAGTAGCAAACTCTGTGATAAATTATTGTCACTTGATTGGAGTTTTTTAAAAAAGTATTTGGACTTTTTCTGAGTTCCTGTGGACGCGCTAATAAATTTTGTTGCGTCCATTGTCAATTTTTATGCGTATAGGACGCAGGAATTCGCGTCCTGTAAATCCATGTGAACATCTTCCTCACCACGTTGGATAGGCTGTCAAATCACTCCCCCTGTGTTCTATATTTTAGATAAAAGCTGACTTCTACTACGACTGGATCAACAGAGCTACGGCCATTCAGTACACTGTGTTTGGAGATAATCAGAAGTCAACCAGAATTGTCACGTCGTATGAAAAGGTAGTACCATTTATTTGTACAATGGAAATAGTCACCAATTTCACATTTCGCTAAGATATGGTTCACCCTCCTACCTACAGTCCATTGAGGCATGGTTCACCTTGTTAACCTCTCCTCTCCTCTCTTATATACAGGTAAATGATGTATGATTCTGAGTGTTACGTCCAGGCAATTGAGATATGTTTCTGCATGTTATATTCAGGTAAATGAGGTATGGTTCTTCGTGTTACATACATGTAATTGAGGTGTGGTTCTACGGGTTACTTACAGGTAACTGAGTTAAAGTTCTGCGTGTTTCATGCAGGTAATTGAGGCATGGTTCTACGTGTTACATACAGGTAATTGAGTTATGAATCTACGTGTTACATACAGGTAATTGAGGCATGGTTCTGCGTGTTACATACAGGTAATTGAGGTGTGGTTCATCGCTTTACGTACAGGTAATCAAGGCAGGATTGGTTCACGTGTTACGTACAGGTAATGGAGGTTGTATGTTTTACATACAGGTAATGGTACGTTTCACAATGGTAAATACAAGTAATTGAGGTATGGTTCTACGTGTTACATACATGTAATTGAGGTATGGTTCTACGTGTGACATACATACATGTAATTTAGGTATAGATCTGCGTGTTACATACAGGTAAATGAGGTATGGTTCTGCGTGTTACATACACCTATTTGCGTTATACTTGTGCTTGTTACATAGAGGTAATTGAGGTATGGTTCTATATATTACATACAGGTAACTGAGGTACGTTTCTGCGGGTTACATACGTGCTGCGTATTGTGCATAACTTAGTTTCAATACCTGCATGACTGTTTTAAATGCATTTTGATTTTGCAGAATGAACGCTACACCATCGCCGCCGATGGAACATGTACCAAAGACGTCCCAACTGACGTGCTTCTGCCAAACTGCATCCCGAGTACGTGTGTCAGGGTCAAAAGTGATCGTTGTTCATGAAATGTATATAAATGAGTCTTGTGGTCATACAGTGATAAACACAGGACCAAAAGAGGGATCTTACACCATTGATATAAACTGTAGAAAACACATGCTACGACCGGAATGTTTCCAGCCATTACCTAACTATAGGCATACTTCATTCAAAGCTATATCTTATGTCATTGTATATTTCTTTGAGTGGCAAGTTTGGGAAAGAACAATATTGACAAACGTTATTGATAACAACTTCTTTCATTTCGTTTGTGCGATCCTGAGAGGGTACGTAAGTCCCTAATCATTTCACGTAAAGTAAAAACACGGATATTTGTGTTTTTAAGTGATGGCTAAATTTGACCACATCGGAAGGGACGACGTAAAGCCAGCACGGGTCCATGCAGGTAGCAAAAGCACTGTAAGTCCCCATGGTCCCTAGTATGGTGATCTGCCTTCTGTTGCTGGCGATCTATAACGTTTTTTTTATATTGTGAATTGTCCGTATAGTGTGTGTTGTTATTTTAACATTAAATGCTAGTTTTAAGTCTAACTGTGATACTCTAGTTGCTTTACTGTCTCTTGACGACAGGTTTTGTATTATACATTTATTGTATAGTTACACGAAATATAAGAAATTGCTATCCTTAGAGTCTGGCAACATCATCGTATATTATTGTATGCACAAGCACTTCTTTCATACATATTATTACCGATTTTCACATATTTCCAAACATGCTTTCAAAAGCAGACACCCTAGTAAATACAAACATTTTCAACGCTTTTCTAGTAATTGCACTGGGTGCTGAAATTTCGATTCAGCTCTAAGTTTACTAGGGTTTAGAAACATGGATATTTCCTCAGAAGGGTGAACATGTATGTATCAGATCGGATATCAAGGGTATGTATATGAACGGTTTTATATGTTCATGTTACCGGTACCCGTGAAGATCCGGGTTAGAATAATGATCTTCTGTTACCCATGCTTGTCGTAAGAGGCGACTAAGAGGATCGGGTGGTCAGGTTCGCTGTCTAAGTTGACACATATCATCGGTTCCCAATTGCTCATGCTGTTGATCACCGGATTGTCTGGTCCCAGACTCGATTATTTACAGACCGCCGCCATATAGTTGGAGAAAGCAGAAAGCCAAGCAGAGAAAGCACGAATATGCGAGCAAAAACGTCTGATTATGTTGCATTCGCTCTTGCTACCAGTTTCACTTACGCCTTGTGTGCACTGTTGGCAAATATTGTGAGGTGCTTCTTTAGAGGGATTAGAAGGTTCAGTGGTGAACGAAGGGCGATGCGTTTCCCTTTGTCATTGCAAGTGTCATTATAGAATAGTCCTCTATCTCGCTTGGAGCACAGCCGTATACCCAATACGACATTTGGTTACTGGTACCGATCAAATCTTGGAATTGTATAAGACCGAATCTAAATAACTGTCGTCTTATCTCTCATTCTGACACACAAGTTAAATACTTTTACCAAAATACCCAAACCTACCGGATAAGATTATATGTATACAGTAACTATAACATATCAATGGCCTCCTTCCTTGTAGACGACAGTACAGACCTTGGCTCAAGCTATATCGGCATTAAGGGAAGCGGGATGAATTCCAACAACTGGCTGATTACAAGCGGCCCTGTCAACTTAACCATGAGCGTCACCGACCCAGGCTGTGTCTTAACCTACTTGGGAATCTTAAACGAGTCAGCAAGTCGTGAGTAGATACTTTACAAAGATCGACTTGGGCGCAGAAGTCCAGGAGGTAATGTTCTGATTCCGATCTCGAAGGAATTGAAACATCGCCTTTCTGCTGCTTTCAGAAGGGAAAGAGTGAGGTTACCAGTAGTTTTACAATAGACTGCAATAAATATTTGTTGCCACTGTAATGCAAACACCAAACCATGAATTTAGTAAAAAAAGTATGAGAAACTTGTGATTAACCAATCAAAATCGGGTATCTTTAATATCTATACTACGATGTAGAATGGAGTTGTGTTGCTTTAACTCATTCTCTACTCAACATGGATTTTTATTATTGTTAAACATTTTGTTTTTTTCTTCAGCTCCAGATACGGAACTATACTTCAACGGATATAAATTAGGCATCACGAATCCAGCTGCTTTCGACATCCCCCTCTCCTGTTAATGTGGGCAGCTGCACTACAACTTGTAGACCTGATTGTTGTCTGTCTCTAAATCAATAAAGACTATTTAAAAGTACAGCAACTTCTGTTTTCAATTACAAGCACAACATCACAAGTTGCTCTACCCTCTCTGGTGATGGCGTCTGTGTAACAAAAGTTCACAGTTTTAGTCAAACGTATGTATGTATGTATGTATGTATGTATGTATGTATGTATGTATGTATGTATGTATGTATGTATGTATGTATGTATGTATGTATGTATGTATGTATGTATGTATGTATGTATGTATGTATGTATGTATGTATGTATGTATGTATGTATGTATGTATGTATGTAAGTATGTATGTATGTAATATTTATCATCATCATCATCATTTCTAAGGTTCTCAAGCAAACTATATTGTCATTTGTATCCCTCACCTATATCCACACAAAATAAATTCATATTGAGCCTTGACACCAGACAGGCAGGACAGAGTGAGACAGTAGTATGTTGGATTTCAAACGTTGGATGGAATGGTGGTGATCAACTGGCCGCAAGTTCCGATATTAGAAAATTAATGAATTCGAGCCTGCTGTCTAGGGTTTTTCCGCCACCATGTATATTTTCTTGTGTTATCCTTCATTTGCCACCAAGCATCGATTAGTTTATATTATTAAAAACAATTGATTATTGATATTCTTATATGTAGTGTTCAAGATCTAAATTAGGGTCAAGTATCATGTTCCAGAGTCATTTTTCAAAATGTTCAATGTCAATTAACAAGTTTTCAGGAAATTTTATATCACCGTGGTAAGGTCCATAAATATTGGCTATTGTTGTCCTTATGTTTGTCATGAGTACAATCTGTTATGATTGTCAACGTTATCACGATGAATTTCTATTTCTACTTTGTTACTAAAAAAATAGCTACTCCACGGGCATTTGATGTTTGTTTGTTTTAAACATATTCTATTCATTCAAGAAAAGGATTTGGCACAAGTCATCCAAAACCTCTCCCGGTAGTTACACAATTCATCTTACAACAAAGTACACAAGTGACAGACATAGGCTAGGATATGTACAACAGATGTTAACTGAGAAAGCTTTTTGTTTGAGAGATATAGATATGTACATATTTGAAAACATTCTGGTTTTCAGTGATTGAGAGACCTGCATTGCCATGTAAGATAATATTAATACCAATCAGTGTTCTATTTCTGACAATATTGTCTGAACATTTTAACAGTTTATGTCTTTGAATAGTATAAATGGACATTCAAGGAAGTAATGAAAAACATTCTCACATCTATGGCCACAATGACACGATGCGTCATTTTTACATTTATTCTAAATAAATCATAATTACGTGTACTCGTCATATATCTTAATCTAGTGTGCATAACATCGAACTTCCTTATCCCATATGAATAATATATAGGTGTGCATTTTTCATTCACGATAATATTTAAACAATGCAACAGAGTCGCAATTTCTAATAGCTAAGGAAATATTATTCCGCACTTTAACTGTTGATGGAATAAAAGATGATGTTGAGTACGTCCGTCTTGTACATGGTTGGCTAAAACTATTGGAGTGTCTTAACTCATAACTTGTCTGGTTGCCTACTACAGGTAGGAGTAAATCCTGAAGAAAAACTGGTGCCAGATCTTTTTGAATTTTATAAAATAATGTTAATTTGCGTATTCTTCTTCTCCAGGAAAGTAGATCCCATCCCGTTTCAAAATACAATGAACTGGAAGATGCATATCTTGGAAGACCAGGAACTATGCGAGCTGCTTCAAGTTGAAGTTTTTCTAATCTATAAGCTTGTTCAATCAAACATCCATCCAATGCCTCGCAAGCGTACTCAAGGTGTGGCCTTATACATACAGTATATATTTTCGCTGGTGTTGTTCT